TTCATTTGTTTTTTGTTTATTTTCATTTTTAAAACAACAAAATTTTCTAGTGTAAAGAATGTGGTAAATCGTTTAATCGATCATCAACTTTGAACACTCATATGAGGATACATAATGGTTGTGAATTGTTTTTTTTTGGAAAAAAATCGAATATAAAACGTTTAGGCTTAAAACCATACATTTGTGATGTTTGTGGAAAAGGTTTTCATCAAAATGGGAACTTTAAAAATCATCGTTTAACGCATTCAGAAGAGAAACGCTTCAAGTGTCCTCTTTGTGATAAGGTAATTCGATTTTACAATAGATTCGTATTACAAATGAATGCCTAAAAACTATCGTAATCTTTCTTTTTGTCCGCTTTATTCATTCAATGAAGAATTAAGCTAAGAATTTAATGGGTTTAACTTTAAGTATTAGGTTAGAAAGAAAGTTAATGTAGAAGTCTTTACAATGTTTTGTTCAAATCTTTTTTTTTTTTTTTGAACCAATTTGAAAGACAAAACGGCTAGATCAAATTACAGAAAATTGTCGATTTTTCTCTTTGTATAACTCCGTCCGTTTGTTTCCACAAGCTCTGATATGTCAAAATTTCGATTCTACGCCCTAAAATTACCTAGAAAAAGAACTTTTGGAATAGAAATTGGTTAACATTAGCTTTTTAGAGCTTTTTTAAAGGTGTTAAAGGTTTTAAAGGTGCGCTAATGGGCAAGGTGCGGAAAAAAAGGTGCGCAAATGTCCGGGTGCGCAAAAAAAAGGTCGCATTTGTCCCACTCCGATAACTTGACATTTTCGCAGTTTCATCTCATAATATTTATTAAAAACTGAGGCAAAAAAAGTGAAGCGTTCATGTACATAAATACCTATAAGGTATAGTAAATAAAACCCGTGAATGGAAGAGAAATATTCAAGTGGAGAGAACCAGTTTGTGGAAAATAAGAGACGAAACAAGTCAGACAACAGAAAATTGATGAATGACAAGGAATATCACAAGTAGGAAGAATGGAAAATGGAGAATTTATAGAGAATTGAGCAACAGTTTAGACTGGGTCCTTAGACTGAAATTTAACTAGTCTTTACCTTTAACTTTAACTAGTCAATAGAATCGATTTGGCAAGTAAAGTGAACAAATTCAACACAAAAATAAATAAAAAAAAAAATCCAAAAAACTAAAAAAAAAAAAAAAAAAATCCAAAAAAAAAAAAACCCCCCAACCAAAAACCCCTCACCCCCAACCCCAAAATCCCCCCAAAAGCCCCCCACATCCCCCCCACAAAAAAACAAAAAAAAAAAAAAAAAAACCCCCCCCCAAAAAACCCCACCCCCCCCCCACAAAAACAACAACAAAACAATTAAAACTAAATAAAATTTTTTTAAATTTTTTTAAAAAAACATAAAAAAAAAAAAAAAAAATAAAAAAAAATTTTAAATAAAAATAAAAATTACCCAAAAAAAACAAAAAAAAAAAAAATATAAAAAAAATAAAAAAAAAAAAAATATTTAAAAAACCCTTTTCCTATCCCCCTTTTTCCCCTTTAAAAAAAAAAAAAAAAAAAAAACCAAAAAATCCCTCAGTTTTTTTTAAAAAAAAAAAAAAAAAAAAAAAAAACATTCCTTCAACTTAAACTTCAACCCACCAAAAAAACCCATTTGGCAAAAATGAACAAAAACGGACGGAGTTATACAAAGAGAAAAATCGACAATTTTCTGTAATTTGATCTAGCCGTTTTGTCTTTCAAATTGGTTCCACAAGCTCTGATATGTCAAAATTTCGATTCTACGCCCTCAAATTACCTAGAAAAAGAACTTTTGGAATAGAAATTGGTTAACATTAGCTTTTTAGAGCTTTTTTAAAACGCGAAAAAAGGTGCTAATGGGCTAAGTGCGGAAAAAAAGGTGCGCAAATGTCCGGGTGCGCAAAAAAAAGGTCGCATTTGTCCCACTCCCTTAGATTTATGAGTTTGTATAAAAAAATTAAAACTTTATGCGTTTCATCTAAGACTTTAAACGTGAAACGCGAAAAAATGAAATTTTTTTGTTAAAATTTGCTCATTTTTGTTAGCCAAGATCGGCTCGCATTTGCAATAATGGAGCTCAAAAAGCACTACTTTTATAGTAATTAACTCTGAAAACGTATTAATGCAGAAAGAGACGGGAAAAGTCGATTTTTAGAGACCCTAAACTCGAATGTAACTTTTTTTTTTCAGCATTGCCGCTTGTCTGCTCGGCTAGGATTGTCTAATTCATTAAAAAAAAAAATCTTACGCTTCTTCTATTCTATGTAAAATTACGCGTAGATTTTTTTTGATTAATTCTTGTTTCTCAGCTTATGTCAATTGTATTGTCGTAGAGAGCCAAAAAGATGCAGCTAAGCGCACGCTGATGTCCGGTAGCTTTCTCTAAATTTTAGAAAAGAGCATTGCAAACGTTGAGTACACTGTATTTTGAAATCAAAAATAACTTTATTTGATCTTTTCAGGCTTTCCACCAAACGTACAATCTCGCTTTTCATATGCACACGCACGAGGAAAGAAAACCGTTTGAATGTCCCGAGTGTGGACGGGGATTTTGTCGAAATTTCGATCTAAAGAAGCATTTGCGTAGAATGCATGCAAACAATTTGAAGCGATCATGAATTTATAGCAAAATAAACATGATTTTCTTTTTATGATAAACAAACAATTACATGCAAGATTATTATTTGTAAACTTAGTCACTCTTTTTATATTATAAAGCTTCAATTTTTACAATAAATTGACGGTTTTTATATATATGTTGTGTTCGATTTAGATTTCCGTCCGATTTCGATTCAATCTAAATCTTATATAGATTGAATAGATATAGATATGATAAAATTTGCCTTAATCACAAATTTTTCCTATTTTAAGTACTTCATTTTGGGTTTTGACAGTAACAGGCAGTAAGACAGTAACAGACCTTTGAAAAATGCAGAAAACGACAGAAAACGCTTAAGAACATATATTAAGCATGTTTATATTATTGTTCAATCTATATAAGATTTAGATTGAATCTAAATCGGACGTCCGATATAGAATGTAATCTAAATCGGACGTCCGCGATAAGTTCAATCTAAATCGGACGTCCGATTTAGATTGAATCTAAATCGGACGGAAATCTAAATCGGACACAACATATATATATATACCGTAAATACTGTAATAGTACCCCACCGTAAATAACCGTAAACATACCGTAAATACTTTAATAGTACCCCATCGCCCTCGTACAGTCGCGTAGGCGCAAAAGTTTTCTAGTATTTCATTTTTTTCAAAGCGCCCGTACTTTCAAAAAGTTGGTCTTTGGTATCAAAAAAATAGCCCTGAATTTCAGCTATTTTTTGATACCAAAGCGAACATTGTAGCACAAACCAGTGTCGAGAAAAACGCGTCCAAAGCTAGACTACTCAACACTCCGCCCCGTCATTATGAGGGTGGGGTACTATTACAGTATTTACGGTATGTGCCTTCTGTATGAAAATCTTATTTTGAGCCCATCAAAGTCAGATGTAACAATGGTTTTTATAAGTTACCAGCCGAAAAATCCACCTAACCCGGGTTTTTCTGGTCGAATTTTGTTGTGGTCGTGGCGCAGTCGGGAAAGCGCTTGTCTACAGCCTACACGAGCCGGCTTCGACTCCCGGCTGTATCGTGACTTTTGCTTTTTAAAAAAATGAAATATAAGATGAACAATTACATCAAAAATATCAAAAAATAGCCCTGAATTTCAGCTATTTTTTGATATTTAAGCGCTCATTGTAGCATAAACCAGTGTCGGGAAAAACTCGTTCAAAGCTAGACTACTCAACGCTCCGCACCGTCATTATGGGGGTGGGTTACTATTACAGTATTTACGGTAAGTTTTTTTCCTTTCAATCGAATTCTTTTGGATAATTCGATGCACTGAATACGAATATCGATATCTCAGATCCGGGTTTTACGTTTTTTAAAGGATAATCGAGATCTCTATATTGATAAGCTCTTGGTTTTTCGAATTGAATCTTAACTAACGATTGTTTATGCTAGTTTCGACAATAGGCACCTCTTAAAATGCCAAAAAAAATTGACATTCTTAGTTTGAATTATTATTAACTTTTTATCTAGTTTTCTGTTACAGTAGGTGTCTTTTTTTTCCGACAATTGTTGATTTCAACTATTGCCAACTATTGTGAAATAAACGAGCCAAAAGAGAGCACCAAATTCGATGACCTCAACGACGGATAATAATATCAAGAAAGAGTTTTAAGTCGATTCAAGTAACTTTCGAGGGAAAGAGGGATTTGGTGAGGTGTGAATGGGATTAAGGAAAAGAGGAAAAGGAAAGGGAAAAGAGATGATCGGCCTATTGAAAAGTTTCGAAGGGGAAAAGGATCATTGACAGACAGCCATTTAACCCCCGCCACTCGAAAACCCTTTTCTCCTTTTTCTCATCTCTGAAGTGAGCCATCCCTTTATCGAGCTCCCCATTGTCCCTTCTGCTGTCGATTCCCTCTTTGGTGAAAGATTTGTTAAATCGATTCGGGGAATACAAAGTTAGGTACACAATTGTGCCAACAACAAAAAGCCAAGAAAGTCCAAAATTTTGGGATTAATTTTTGCTTTAACACATTCACGACGGCGAGCCGCACACCATGGCTCTTTCGGTGTTTTAAGCTAATGACTAGAGCTAATGACTTCTCTAAAAATTTACATCTAAGGGTTTTTGGGGTTGGATTTCAGATTCGGATTCGGATTCTCCAACAAAAGTACAGTTAAATTACACGAAGAAGCCGTTAGCGGCTAAATTAGCGCCAACTTCAAGCTTTAGACGATAGCTGAACGATAATTAGTGACGAAAGCGGATTAGAAGTTCAATAAAAGTTGATTGGTATTAATTAGTTGATTAGTTGTTAACTAGTTAATTAGTTAATGATTAAATAGTTGATTAATTAGTTCCTTGAGTAACAAAATTCTAGCTGAGACGTCACTCTCGTTCACGGGATCGCAATGGTGGTGACCGGGAAGGTCGAGGCGGAGGAGATGAACGTCAAGGCGAAGGAGATCAACCTCGAGGCGGAGGAGATCAACGTCGAGGCGGAGGAGATCTCTGTATCCTTAAAATGTTATAATTTGTCTCTCACAAAAATCTCCTCAACAAGTGAATCAGAAAAGCTACAAGGCTAAGAAAAAATGACAGCTAAATGAAATAAATAATCGAGAATCCGAATCTGAAATCAAATTTCAAAAATCTTCATTACTCGCTGAGATCTAAGAGATTTAGAGCGCTTTTCCATGGCTACTTTGTGCTCCTCTGGCACAAGGACGGTAGCCCGCCACTTCAATTACCCAACCAGCGCTAAACGTTAAAAGGATCTTCTCAGAAAAGCATTACTTTTGAAAGCTTTCAATAATACACTTAATTTTTACTTTTCTAGCATTGTAAGAAAAATGTTGTAAAAGAAATGAATTCCGATTGTTTTATGGCTTTTTTGAGGAATTTTTCTTTAAAAACATTACACCAAAAACTCAGCACTTTAGAAAATCAATAAAAATTAAAAAAAGCCCACCAAAAACTCAGTACTTTAGAAAACCAATATCAGATTCGGATTCTCGATTATTTATTTCATATAGCTATCATTTTTTTTTCTTAGCTTTGTAGCTTTTCTGGTTCACTTCTTGAGGAGATTTTTTTGAAAAACGGTTTCTTCGTGTAATTTAACTGTACTTTTGTTAGTTTTCAGCCCAAAGAATGAACACAAGAGGCGTCTTTACTGTGGCACAGATGCCGGCCCACACCATAAAGGACTTCGGAAAATGTTGGCGGACCATCAATTCGGCTGCAAAAGTGTTTTTCAGACCTCGCTTGAGAAGTTGGCGATGGTTTTGACGATTGTGGATCGGTTGAACGGTGAAGATCTTCTCATCTGTGAACACAACCTTGTCCAAACGACCAGCAGCGACCAGGTGCACGGTTGAACGGTGAAGATTTTTTGAAATTTGATTTCAGATTCGGTTTCTCAATTATTTATTTCATATAGCTATCATTTTTTTTTCTTAGCCTTGTAGCGCTTTTCTGGTTCACTTCTTGAGGAGATTTTTGTAAAAAACGGTTTCTTCGTGTAATTTAACTATACTTTTGTTAGTTTTTAGCCCAAAGAACGTGAATTCCTTAAAGATTCCTTAAAAATAAAGCTTTACTCGTTAAAGAAGTAAAGAAGAATAAGTCGTAAATGGGGAACTCCGTCAATTCTCCCAAAAACCCATTACTGTATTGTGTTTTTATGATAAAATGAGGCGTGAAATTGGGGAAAAGAAATGGAAAGAAGTGTGTCTTTTCTGGGGAAATCGTCAAGAGAAAAGGTGATGGGACACCGCGACGCCTTTGCCCATTTTTCTCCAACAGTAAAGCAAGGGGATAGGCTGAGCTAATATCCACCAAAATTCAGTCAAATTCAGTGAATTTCTTTTAAAAATATATGCTATTAGCTAAAAATATATGTGCATGCATAAGAGATGCGGATTTCAACATTTTCATCGAATTTTGCAACGATAGAAACCTGATGTTATAAACTAGAATCGATGAATGTTATGAACTATTTGAAAGTTACTTTGAGCTCTCACAAACACTCTTACAGGTATTCAATGAGTTTTTATTTGTAAGACAAAACAAAAATTAGCATAACAGTAAAATCTGATTTAAGAAATGGATGAGAAGTATTTCATTGACCACCAGAGTCACATGTACGCTTAATGCATCATTTCTCTGGCAACACCAAGTGTTGAGTGAGTCAGCTTAACGCTTAACGTACTTGTGAAGTAGTAAAAGATATAGATATATCAAAGAGCTATTTTGTTGAGCTCAAGAACATATGCAAATTTGTGCCTTCTGCATGCAGATTTTTGTACCGTTTGTTTATTGAAGTAAAAAGAATAACAAGGTAAAAGATTTATTTCCAATTTGCTTTCATTTTACAATGCGAATGAAGGATCAAGATGATTTTGAGTTCTTTTTGAAGGAGAGCCATTTGATTTGATTTGATGGTTGAATCGGAGTTGAAGAGATTGACATTGTTGTTCAGCAACTGTTGAGCAATTGTTGGTTGTAGATTGAGATTCGTTTTAGCCATTGAATTGCTTTTATTTAGTTCGCATGATCCCCATCTTGAGCCCAAATCGGTAGAGTTGGATCTTTGACTTCTTCATCATCAGAATCATCAAGATTGTCTGGTTGGGGGGATGAATCTTTGTCATCTTTTTGGAAAGACATTTTCAGATCCAAATTTGTTTGAATGGACATTGTTGATTTATTAGAATGGCTTTGATTTGATTGCTTTAAGCGCTTGTTATAACTCTTTTATACAAAAATCCCTTTTCCTTGCCTCATTTTCTTTATTTTTTCATTATTGCGACGAATCATTTCAATATTTCTGAAATTTGCAAGAAAAATCGGAAAACTACTTCATCAACTACCAATTCCTAGGGTTTTTCTGAGAATTTTTTCAGAGATGACTCATTTTTAGCAAGAATACACAAGCTGATAACGCTGAACTTTCCAATTTTCTTATTGTTGGCAAAATATTGTTTGAACTTGAGAATATTCTGTCTGATTTAGGAAATAGATTGCATGAATTGCAAATAGATTCAATTTTTTAACATTTCCCAATGTTTCTACGTTCATTTTCATGAAAATAGAGAATTTACAATGCTTTTGTATGTAGTTTGCTGATAGTTTTTGACGAAAACGGGTTTTCTAGTTTGTATGCAGTTTGCTCATAGTTTGACATGCTGTTTTTGTTTATTAGCATCAAATTTGCATGTTTTTGCGTTGCTTACAATTTGGGGAAACTTTAAGAAATAACCTGAGCTATTCTTTTTACTCTACTTTTACTTGTTGATGGAGGGAAAGCTTTCCAGCAAGATTCAGCTTTACTTTTCAAAATCTCTTTAAAAAAATTGCACTTAAGGATCATTTATTTTTGATTAATTCTAATTTAGTCAAATTCTCCCAAAATGTGACCGCTTTCCCGAGTGAAACGCCAGCAAGTCAGCAAGCCTTTTCACTCCGATTGAATCACCGTTCTGATCGCTTTTTTTTTTTCGTTTTTGAGGGAGAATTCTCAAAACTCTCTCTCATTTCCTCAATCTTTCTCTTAAAAATTTAAAAGTTCCACTTAAATAACCATTCTTTTTATCATTAGAAATGGGGAAAAATGAGAGAAAATTGGGTATAAAAGGCGGCAATGATGGTCAAGCTTTAGTCCGACACCTCCAATACAGGTAATCTTTTGGGAAATTTTGTGTTTAGGTAGATGAGGCTTTTATTCGATAAGCTTTTTGAGTTGAAGGCTCAGATTTTATGCCTGCCTAAGTTTAGTTTTCGCCTTACTTCATGCTATTACTTGTCTAGAAACTGTACTTTTAGAAATAGTACACTTAGAACCGTACTTTACAGAATATTCTATATTATTCGATGCATTATCCTTGTCTTTTTCAGAGACTCGGCTTCAAAAAATGTCATTCATTGCGTGGGCCTCATCGGCTGGCTCTTCAGTGGCCATCCTTGTGTGTCTCTTCTATGTTCCATACTTGATGAACCAGGTAATTGATGAGGATTTTATCTAGCTTATAAAATGGTTTACTTAATCTCTATAACTAGATTTATTCAAATTATCAATCATTTAGGTTGATGAGATCAAGGGAACGATCGCCATCCGGATGGATCGTTTCCGTGTCGATGAGCACGGCGTCTGGTCACAACTTCAGGTATTACAATATTTGAAATTTATAGCCCTATGCCTTTCGGTACCTTTCTTAGATCTAGATTTATTCTTGTTTATAAAACTTTAGATCAAAATAGGAACCATATTGGAACCATATTGGAACCATATTGGAACCGTATTGGAACCATATTGGAACCGTGTTGGAACCGTATTGGAACTGTATTAGATCAAAATAGGAACCGTATTGGAACCATATTGGAACCGTGTTGGAACCGTATTGGAACTGTATTAGATCAAAATAGGAACCGTATTGGAACCATATTGGAACCGTATTGGAACTGTATTAGATCAAACTATATCCTCTGTTAATCTGAACCCAACAAACTCCTTTTAGGCCACCCGTGTGGGAATCGTTCGCCCCCGTAAAGCTCGTGCCGCCTACAATCAAGGACAATGCAACTGTGACTCGTTGGAGAGATGCCCAGCTGGACCTGCTGGAGAACCAGGACATCCTGGAGAGAACGGATACCCTGGAGCTCCTGGATCACGTGGAGAGCCTGGAGTGGCTGGACGTGAAGATCACCATGAGGAGCAAGAGGTCAGAAGTTGTAGCTAGCCTTATGATGTAAAAGTCTAAACTTTGTCAGAACCAAAATAACCTTTTCAACTCTAGGAGGGATGCCGTCGTTGCGCACCCGGCCCTGTGGGACCACCTGGGCAACCTGGAGCTCCAGGAGAGGATGGACAATCGGGAGAGCCTGGAAGAGATGGAGAAGAGAGCGCCCCAGGAGAGCCTGGAAGAGATGGAGAGCCTGGACACGATGGAGCCCCCGGAGAGCCTGGAAGCGATGGAGCTCCTGGAGCCCCAGGAGAGAATGGAAGCCGTGGAGTGCCCGGCCCAGCTGGACCAGACGGACGACCAGGAGAGAATGGATCGAAGGGACAGCCTGGAGACAATGGAGCTCCTGGAGCGCCTGGACAACCTGGACAGAATGGAGAACCCGGAAAGAACGGAGGACCAGGAGCACCTGGAGCAAGAGGACACGATGGACAGTCCGGAGGATCGGGAGAACAAGGCAGAGATGCGAACTACTGCCCCTGCCCAGCTCGCTTCAACAAACATTAAGCGATCAGATTGGCGAAAGAATAAAGAGCATTTGCATCGTTTGGGTTTATTGAAAATGCACAAAACAGATTTTGGTTCTTAACTTGGTTGTGCTCCGGTTACCATAGGCGTTACAGTAACCCAGACGTAACCCAGACGTACACGTCTCTCGGCTCCGGTTACGTCTGAGTTACGTCTGAGTTACAGTGGCGGAAAATTAAATAGCACCGAGGGAATTATTTCGTGTCTTCTCTCTCGTGCATTATTTTAACTTACTTTCAAAAGTAAAGTAAAATATAGTTCAATATACATCTATTAAACAGTTTTCGAGTTTTCTGAAAAAACTTTGAGGCACTTAAAAATGCATGAAAATAAAAGTATAGTTTTACAACTTTTTCCTGAGGCGTTTTAGAGCATGATGATGTTCAGCAAAAAGATTCTCCGTATTCGATTTAGTGCGAATAAGCTTTTAGTTTGTGGAAATTCGTTGAACGACGATTTTTGGCTATTTTTGCCGTTTTTTCCCTTTTTTGCCCCTTTTTGAGCACTTTGAAAGGCCCGAAAACCCTTAAATTTCAACGAATTTCCACAAACTAAAAGCTTATTCGCACTAAATCGAATACGGAGAATCTTTTTGCTGAACATCATCATGCTCTAAAACGCCTCAGGAAAAAGTTGTAAAACTATACTTTTATTTTCATGCATTTTTAAGTGCCTCAAAGTTTTTCAGAAAACTCGAAAACTGTTTAATAGATGTATATTGAACTATATTTTACTTTACTTTTGAAAGTAAGTTAAAATAATGCACGAGAGAGAAGACACGAAATAATTCCCTCGGTGCTATTTAATTTTCCGCCACTGTAACTCAGACGTAACAGACGTAACCCAGACGTAACAGACGTAACTCAGACGCTTTTTCCAAACCTTTAAATACCCTAAAGTGTACTCCGACTACCGTAACCTATATCTTATCAAGATATATTTTATCTCTTATTGTTTATAAATAAATGTAGTCTTTACGACCAAGTCTCTGAGTTACGGTAGCTGAGGCAACTTTTATCTAGCTACAGTACGCTCGGAAAGTCGCCGTTTAAAACGGCCACTTTCCCAGCGTACTGTAGCTAGATAAAAGACTTGAACTTGCCTTTAAAAACTGGAAAATTTTCAAACGATCAAAAGCAAATTCCTTTCGAATTACCTGAAGACTGACACGGTTCCAAAAATGACCAAAGCGGATTGACCCTGAGTTTTTCTGATAAGGCATTTTGTGAAAATCATTTCACCCTTAAAAACTTTATTAGTTTCCTGAAAAATGCATTTCCTTTCTAAAATCGATCCATTAAAGCTTCGGGTTTGTTGACAATTTCAGCTTTTTTTTTTAATTTACAAAGAAATTTTGAAGATTTCCCTCTATGCCGTGGCGGTGTTGCACTTTAGCGGGAAAGTCATTTGGTACGGCTTTGGCGATTTGTTCTTCTACGAGAAACTTGAGAGGTAAAAGATTAGAGGGGAAAGCTATTTATCTTATGGCCTTGTAGTACACTTATTAAGTAGTAGTTAAGTTAAGTAGTAAACTTATTATCATATCATATTGTCATATCAAGTCATATCGAGCCAAGAATCGTTTATGTAACTCTTGTTAAAGTATACTTATTGTTATTGTTAAGGTTGTTTGTTACTTATTGTTAACGTGCATTTCTCGGGGGGTAATCCACTTTCTAAAAGGCATCTATTATAGAAAACTAATCGTAATCTTAAATCGTACTCCGATTTTATGGAATCAACTTCATTTTTGTATCATTTGATAAAGAATCAACTTTATTTGATAAACTTTAGTAAAACCTACCGTAAATACTGTAATAGTACCCCACCGCCCTCGTACAGTCGCGTAGTCGCAAAAGTTTTTTACTAAATCATTTTTTTCAAAGCGCCCGTACTTTCAAAAAATGCGTCTTTGGTATCAAAAAATAGCTGAAATTCAGGGCTATTTTTTGATACCTAAGCGCGCATTGTAGCATAAACCAGTGTCGAGAAAAACTCGTTCAAAGCTAGACTACGCAACACTTCGCACCGTCATTATGAGGGTGGGGTACTATTACAGTATTTACGGTAGGTTAACCTGGCTCTCCCCTAGCTCTGATTTAGCTTATAAGCACTGAGATCTAGCTGGGTATTCCTGCTCAGAAGCCAGCCTTCTCCTGGCTCAATTTGGCCCCAGACCACAAAAACATTGGATTGGCGTTGGCTCTCTGACCTAGACCTCTGACCTGCTTTAGAGCTGGCATCTCTTACAGACTCTATTGTATTGTAGCAGAGCGCGCATTGTAGCATAAACCAGTGTCGAGAAAAACTCGTTCAAAGTTAGACTACGCAACACTTCGCACCGTCATTATGGGGTACTATTACAGTATTTACGGTAAGTCTTTTCCTTTCAATTGAATTCTTTTGGGTAATTCGATGTGCTGAATCCGAATATCGATATCTCAGATCCGGATTTTACGTTTTTTAAAGGATAATCGAGCTCTCTATATTGATAAGCTCTTGGTTTTTCGAATTGAATCTTAACTAACGATTGTTTATGCTAGTTTCGACAATAGGCACCTCTTAAAATGCCAAAAACATTGACATTCTTTGTTTGATTACTGTAGCTTTTAGTGGCTTTTAACTTTCAAAGCATGACCAAATTGTTGAGCTGTTTTATTTGGCAACCGATCCAGCCCATTGCACGTTTTTAATCAATGAAGTGTTTACAGTCTCTCTCCAACGGATCAAAGTCTAAAAGCCTAGCCAAATCCTGTTTAAAATGAAAAACAAATGAAAAATTGAAAATTAAACTAAAAATATTAGAAAAAAAGCCCTACGCAAGCTGTTTTTCTGTTTTTGTGAAAAATATTTGCTTTCCAGTGGAGACATGACTGTTGAAGGGATACAAATGAATGTGATCATTTACATTGGAATCAATATATTGACGATCGCTGATCTTCTTCTCTTTCTCACCTCAATTATCTTGTCGATTATTGGATTTCGAAACGGGATCAAGTCACTTTCACTCACGCATGCTATTTACATGGTGAGTTTGAGCGGTGAATGGTATAGCTAGAGAGGTGTTACAAAGGCCTGACCTGACTTACTTTGTAATCCAGGTCAGGCCACGGCCAAAGCCAAATCAGGCCAAGGCCAAAGCCAAATTAGGCCAAGGCCAAAGCCAAATCAGGCCAAAAGCTAGAACCTGCCCTTAGCCACAAGAAGGCACCGCAGAAGAAACTGACTTGACTTCTGGCTTATCTGGCTTGACCTTACTGCTGACTGCCCTGAGTCCCTGAGCCCTGTCCCTGAGTCAGAACTCAAACATTGACCTTGTTTCTTCCCCTAGAGCTCAGTTAGAACATCTCTGTGTCCAGTTGATGTACTGAATCAACTTGTTAGTACAGTACAACTACTCCTAAGTACAGTACAACTCCTCGTAAGTGACTCTACTACCTACGCAGCTAATTGTGGGTTTAGAGTAGACATAGGAAAATTCAAGCCGAACCTAATTCCACCTTTCGTTTTCTCAGCTGTCTCTCGCCGATTGTTCTGAAATCTTGTTTACAAATAGAAATTGGCATTTTCTGCTTGTAGACAAAATTTCAGAGGAATTGGTGAAGAGACGGCTGAGAAAAACGATGGTGGAATTAGGTTCGGTTTGGAATTTTCTCATGTCTAGTGTGAGTACACTTAATTTTTGATTTTAAAGTAACGTAGAAACAAATACTCAGCCTGGTTAGCTGAATAGCTTAGCTTAGGCATACTGTAGGTCTCTTCACTACAGTATGCCGAAATAAGTTCATCTAATGAACATTCGTATTGAATTTTTTCGTTTCTCAATCTCAGCTTTTTGCTTGTCCGATGGTTAGAACTTGCGCTGAAGGTTAGAAATTTTTACCCTTCAGCTATCTAAGATCTATCTAAGTTAAATGAAGCATTGAGTGCATCTGAAGTCGAGAAAATTCGAGGCTAGTCGCGAAAATTCAGGGTATGGAGGTGAAAGTTTGGTATGGGAACTTTGAGGACAGTCTAATCGACGCGGAAACAATCGATCTCTATCTCTCAATGTATCTCTTTTTAACTTCAATGATTTCACTCATCATTTTCTCTGTTCACTATCGTCAAATCTATCCATTGAAGAGTCATTCGCCGACTTTCGGAACAATTCCACCGCCATCAAGAAGGACCACGTTTATTGTTTAAATGTACTTTGTCCAAATGGAAACCCACCTCATCTATTGCACTCAGTTTTTGATCAATCTAAGATAAATGAAGAAGTGCATAAGAAAATGTGGGTTTACGTTTACGGTGATGTTTACGTTTACGTTTACGTTTACGTTTTACGTTTACGTTTTACGTTTACGTTTACGTTCACGTTTACGTTTTACGTTTACGTTTACGCTTACTTTTACGTTTACATTTACGTCTACGTTTACGTTTACGGTGACGTTTACGTTTTACGTTTGCGTTTACGTCTACGTTTACCTTTTCCTTTTACGTCTACGTTTTACGTGAGTGCAAAGAACAAAGCTGAAAACGTGAATTCAGCAATTTTTCCTTTAAAATCCACTTTCCTATGTTCTTTTTTCAATTTATTGAATGAAAAACTCTCATAAAGCTGATCCCAATTATTTGCCTTCATAAAAAATTGCCCTACCCCTGCCCTATCCAAAAAAAAATCCCGGAAACGATCTATCGTTTTTTTTTATTTGCTCTACAAAATTTCTATGAAAAAGATTCTTTTTTTTGATTTCTTTTTTTATTTGCACTTAATGAATTTGAAAGTAAATGAATGCTAAAAAAAATTCGTTTCGAATCGTTTACAATTTGCTTTATCTTGCACCAAAATGGACATATATGCAAATAAATTTTCTGAAATGAAAAAAGAATTGTGGTCACGTCAGAAAAGCAAAGCGAAGGATTGATCAGGGAAAATTTGGGGAAATTTTTCAAAACTTTAGCTTTCATTCAGTCACTCCAGCACAAGGTTGATTTCAAAATATGATCTTTACAAAGATAGAAAGTAGCGTATTTTCTCTAATAGTAGTGCACCGTGAGCGTCGTCTAAATTGCTCGAAATCTCGAGAACCACTGATCAGAACCTATTGATGTGGGGTCGGAAAATGTAGCTGACAATGAGATCTTGTGGGGGATTTGAGTGTTGAGCTTCTGGGAAAAAATTGGAAACCGTAAAATAGGCATCAACTCGGCTCGGCGCAGTGCAGTGGTAGAGAAAATGCGGTATCTTTTCTTTCCCCTACCTGATATTCAACGAGAGTCTCCGTGTAGTTAAAGATCGCTCCACCTAATAAAGAGTAGAGAACCAACTTACTATTTAGAAGAGCTAGGCTAATGTCCCATGTTTCATTGCAGTATTTTTCTTAATAGTACTGCACCCTAAGCTTCGCCTAAATTCCTCGAAATCTCGAGAACCGCTGATCAGAACCTATTGATGTGGGGTCGGAAAATGTAGCTGACGATGAGATCTTGTGGGGGATTTGAGTGTTGAGCTTCTGCAAAAGCTTGGAAACCGTAAAATAGTGACCAACTCGGCTCGCCCGGTGCACTACTATTAGAGAAAATACGGTAACATCCGTTTCTTTTTACTGGACGGCTATTGATTATCTGAACAATACTTGGTCTCTAATTTTAGCTGAACAGCAAAATGCAAGGCAATCGGACGATACAAGCGGAGATTCTTTACAAAATAAAGGACAAAATGCATTTGTTTACTATTTACATGGTTTAATTTTGATTCTATATTTATGAGATACCGACTTTATTTCGGTTCTATAATTACATCTCGATCCTTAAGAACTCAATCCTCCTGCGCGAGCAGCAGGAGGGTCTTAAGGACCGAGTTATTAAGGATCGAGTTCTCAAAAGAATTGCAGAACTTACAATTTCTTATTCTTTCAATTCCTAAAGATAATGATTTTTAAAGTTTAAAAGGGGGGTAGTCAAAACAGCGCCATAATAGAAAACGTTCAAAACAGCGCCGTCAAATTTCTCAAAATCCAAAAAACCAAGCCGGTTCAAGTTTTATCTCAAAAAATTCCTTGCGTTCTTGGCTACATGATGGGTGAAACAGTTTTTTAAAAAAGTTCATATTTCATAGATAAAAAGAGCACTCAAAATGGGTCTCTAAAGATATTCAGTTAACCAACTGAGTATCACTCGACACACATTTTGAGTGCTCTTTTTATCTATGAAATATGAACTTTTTTAAAAAACTGTTTCACCCATCATGTAGCCAAGAACGCAAGGAATTTTTTGAGATAAAACTTGAACCGGCTTGGTTTTTTGGATTTTGAGAAATTTGAACGTTTTCTATTATAGCGCTGTTTTGACTACCCCCCGTTTAAAACTGTTAAGAATAATGAATTTCAGAACGAAAAATTTCATTTTTTCTTTCTAAAATTGAAATAACATTTTTTAAAGTAATGGCTCGTCCTTCAAAGAGGCAAAGTCGAAGGATAAACACGGAGAACTCGATCTCGATCCTTAAGAACTCAATCCTCCTGCGCGAGCAGCAGGAGGATCGAGTTCTTAAAAGCATTGCAGAACTTACAATTGCTTGCTCTTTCAATTCCTAAAAATAATGATTTTTAAGCTTTAAAACTGCTAAGAATAATGTAGTCTGCAGATTATCAAACTGCACAAAAACATTCCAATCTTTTGAACCATTTCAATCTTTCAATCTTTCAATCTTTCAGATCTATCTAAATCATTATCTTTAGGAATTCAAAGAGCAAGCAATTGTAAGTTCTGCAATGCTTTTGTCCTTGATTCGCATTGACATTAGCTGTCGTTCTCTGATTTTCAATCAAAGATTTTAGTTCGGTGAGTTTGGTCAATTCAAAGATCTGATTTTGAATAGTTAAATAGCCCAATGATAGAATATCTGTCTAGAATGAAAGTGAAATGATTTCTTCGGATTTGATTTGGAAACGATTTCTTTACCAATCCCTCTTTCAGCGTTCTTCCACTGATCCCTTCATCCGCACATTTCCCCCAGAAACTCTATAGTTTCATCATACTTTTTCTCTTGTCTAGTTCATGTACATCGTTATGCAAACATTTGAAAACATGTGATATGAAATTCGGGCAAGTCCACGAGTCCACAAGGATCTCTTTAATATCCTCCAATCTAATTGTCGACATAATTTCTCAATTCGCTCTTTTCTCGCTTTTCTCGCTTTTATTTGTTTGATCTGTTTGTCTAATTCAGAAAGAGAAAGAAAAGAGATTTGTATCTGTAGCTGGGAAAGGCTTTCTATAAGCCATATTGGCACAGCTTTATCTTCTCCATTCACTCACCATTCACAAATTCTCTAAATTTTCTTTTAACATGAAATTATGAAAGGCTTTTTTTGTTTACACCAAGGACAGGAAAAAAAAAGGATTTATCAAGTGACACAGAAAAATAAAATCGATTTTAGACAAAAGAATCAAGGTCTTAGGGGGAAATTGTCGAAAAAAATTGGTCTTGAAATTCTGAGGTACATGTGAAAAACTATGCGATCTAGCTAGGTAATTTGAAAATGATAATACTGAAATTGACAGTTACAATTGACCAAAAACGACAACGACAGCGTGATTGTGGGAGACGATATTTCGATTGAGTTTCTTTTATTTCAACATTTGCAAATAGCAAATAGCTGAGAGATTTTGAATCTAATGATTAGTCCAAATGTTTAGAATCGTTTAATCTATCCTCAATCTTGTTCTGGTTGTTTAAAAGAGACTTTTTCTGGGTCTAGAGCTAGAGCTAGAAGCCAGTTTCTGCCGGGCTTTACTGCAGACTTTGCAAAAATCTCTCAACATTTGCTAGCTGAGAGATTTTGAATCTAATGATTAGTCTAAATGTTTAGAATCGTTTAATCTATCCTCAATCTTGTTCTGGTTGTTTAAAAGGGACTTTTTCTGGGTCTAGAGCTAGAAGCCAGTTTCTGCCGGGCTTTACTGCAGACTTTGCAAAAATCTCTGACCCAATAAAATCCTTAAACTTGTCCTAGATTTGTGCCTGCCTTAAACCTGATCTAGATCTGAACCTGGGCTAGATCTGGGCTAGCCTAATCATGCTATCTTGACTTATAACCCTTGCTACTAGGGCATCAGTTGGGAAATCTCTGATCTTGACTCGATATTTACTCATTCAAACTCTAGACTAGTATTAAGCTTTAAAGATCTTTTCCTTATCAACAATGAAAAGTTGATCAATGTTAGATGAAGTTAAAATTAGCTATTGAATAGCTTATTGAATGAAACATTCAATTTCTCTCTCTTGAAACCAAGAAACTCAAGCTTAAATATCAGTAACTATCTCAAGTACATGTAAATTTTCTCGAAAATTTCAAGAATCTATTCAAAACAACGACAATGACGACAAAGCTTGAGGTTATTACACAAGGCAGGTAGAAGAGTGCTTAAAAAAAAGGCGGTGTGGGCAGAGAAGGAGGTGAGGAAATGGAGAGAATGTGGTCGATTGTTAGACGAATTGTTTGTTTTTTTTATGGCGTCCCTGAATGTGTCGTGAAGAGGTCAGGTGTCGGAGTGCGGGATGGGCCCATTGAGTTTCTGAAAAAAAAAACGGAAAGATTTTACGCACATTGTCGGGTAGAATTTGTTAAAAACCTCGAGATTTGCATCTCGTCGCTGCTCATTTTGGATGAGGGAGTTGGTGTGCGTGACGGTTGATCGGGAGATCTAAAACCGATCGAGTTCGGTGGTTTGGAACTCAATGGGCCCAAATAAGTAGAGGAAATGATAAATGAAAAGAAAGAGAGAGGGAACTTAACTTATGATAGGCTCAGGGGTGGGAGTACGTGAAGGAGAACGATATCTGAAATCGATTCGTGGGCTTGAAGATAGAAGAAGAGGTGGGAATTGACGCTAATAGTCCAAAAGATACTGTAAGCCAGTCCAAAAGATACTGTAAGTCAGTATTTTACTACAATATACCGAAGCATTGAATAGAAGATACTCAGCCTTCTATAGCTGAATACTTCTCAGCTGAATACTCAGCATTGTAGCTGAATAGATGTCAATTCTACAGTCAATCCAGAATAATGTATTCAGATGTGAGATACTCAGCCTGGTTAGCTGAATAGCTTAGCTTAGGCATACTGTAGGTCTCTTCACTACAGTATGCCGAAGTAAGCAGAAGACTGAGCTTTATGTAGATTGCATCACTTGCAACTCATTCTAAAATATCCCTTAGGAAAAGTTACTGTAATCCAGCTGCTTTTTAACAACCTTTATCAACAGAATTACGGTAGCTTTTCCTAGAGCATAGAATGAATACTATAGTCTAGACTGGATACCGTAATCTAGACTGTTTAGACTGAATTGCTTGTTCTAGACCGAATACCCCAATCTAGACCAAATACCGTAATCCATACGGTCTAGACTGAATACTAGGAAAAGACTAAAGAAAAGGCTTAGGCTAAAGCTTTTTCTATCAAAATGCGCTCTAGGAAAAGCTACCGTAACTAGCCTGCTTTTTAACAACCTTTATCAACAGGATTACTGTAGCTTTTCGCGTTTTTTAGGAAATGCTTTAGCTAAAAGGAGTTTAACTGACTACTTTTTATTCCAGCAGTTTATTTCCAAGTTTATTCCAGCAGTTTTTATTCCAAGTTATTGAACTTACAGTATCTTTTCAAATTCAACTCCACCTATTCTCCCCAAACATTCAAAAAACTTAACTCGACGTTTGTGGTTGGGGTGATGGAGTTTGTGGGGGCCAGGGAGGGGATCTAAACATAATATCACAAAAAAGACAAAAAGAAGGAGGTAAGAAACGAAAGATGAGAGCTTAGAGGGGATTTTTGAGGTTACTGAAAGAAGATCCCGCCATTCACGTACGGGGTTCGCTGAGTGTTGTTCTGGGATCCGAGAAGAGCTAATGAGGTAGAGGAGCGTTGTTGATTGAAATCATTTCGATACGGTTGATGACCACGAAATTGTGGTTTCGGATAAGGAGCGGCGGAGATTGAAGACGAGGTTTTCTCCTCCCACCACTCCGTTGAGCGAGTTTGTCTCTGATTGTAAGCACGCGGCGGTGGTGGAGGAGGAGGAGGCACCGGTGGTGGAGTTCTGAAAGCAAGTGGTTTTTTTTATGGCTATGATAGAAGATTTTGAGTACTAGGCTAGCTTTATTTAAAAAGTTTTAACAGTTCAAGGACAAATTGAGATCGTAAATTTGATACTTTAATGTAAACGGGCATAGTTTTTGTTATCTTTCGTTTAGTGCAATGATTTTATAGACTTTTAGTTGTCACTTTTTGAAAGATTGAGATTTTAGCTACTGTAAATACTGTAATAGCACCCCATCCTGAAAATGACGGTGCGGAGTGTTGCGTAGTTTAGCTTTGAACGAGTTGTTTGTTGTTTAAAATAAACTTTCGAGTTCAATGCTTGGTCATAGCTAAAAGTAGAGTAAAAATGCTCAAAAATACTTGTGACAACTTTTTTATAGCCCCTCGGAAAGGTTCCTAAATTTGCGTTTGAAAGTTGCCACCCAGGACCCGCCAAGACTTTTGCCCATGACTGTACAATTCTCTGTCCTAGATATTTGTAAACATGAAAAGCACCTATCGTAAATACTGTAATAGTACCCCACCCCTATAATGATGGTGCCGAGTGTTGCGTAGTTTAGCTTTGAACGCGTTTTTCTTGACACTAGTTTATGCTACAATGTGCGCTTAGGTATCAAAAAATAGCTGAAATTCAGGCTATTTTTTGGTACCAAAGACTTTTTTGGAAGTACGGGAGCTTTAAAAAAAAATGAAATACTAAAAACTTTTGCGATTACGCGACTGTACAAGAGGCGTGTTTCAAAAGATTATTTTGAGGGGGTGGGACAAATGCGACCTTTTTTTGCACACCTGGACATTTGCGCACCTTTTTTTGTTGGAAAAGGCCTTAGGAAAGGTCGTAGAGCTTCAAAAATATTTCCATATAAGGGAATCGTATGCCTAGATTCCGAATTTCGACAAATCAGACCTCACTGACACGTCAAATTTGCGCTAAAAGGCAAAAACTGCGGAAAAGCGTTAAGTTGCGTAGTTTTTGCCTTTTAGCCCAAATTTGACGTGTCAGCGAGGTCTGATTTGTCGAAATTCGGAATCTACGCATACGATTCCCTTCTATGAAAACATTTTTGAAGCTCTACGACCTTTCCTAAGGCCTTTTCCAGCAAAAAAAAGGTGCGCAAAAGTCCAGGTGCGCAAAAAAAAGGTCGCATTTGTCCCACCCCCTATTTTGATGAATTTGAGCTTTTTCGAAAACTTGGAACATTCATTGGGCGGCTCAGTTCGGGATCTTCAAACTATTCATCTCTTTTCTATATGATTCCCTGAATCATTTGATTGTTTAGTATATCGATAATGTAGTCTGAAATGTATAAAAGCGTTCTCTAAAAAGACTATATTCATGAATTTTAGTCTTTTCATACTACAGGGTGCGCCAAAATTACCGCTACACCTTTTCAGCAGATTGCATGCCAAACGCCGCAATCAATTCAAAAACCCTAACTATTACATAGAGAATTGAAGCCTGAATTCTTGCCTACATTTCTGTATTAAAAGATTTTTGATTGGAGTTTGGAGCCCATTTTTGGAGCCCATTTTTCAGACTCTCAAATGAGCCCAATCCGATCAGTCTCCGGCACGCTTTCATTTTTAGTTGTTTTCTGTTCTGGTTAGGTTAACATTGTCAAAAGACTTTTGTGATATCATCGTTTCTCATATCATTTAAAATACTATCTTTTCATGTATTAAACAACAAAAAAAATTTTCGTTAGGAAACAGCTAAAAATGGAAGCATGTCGGGAGACGGGTCGGATTGGACTCATTTGAGAGTCTGAAAAATGGGCTGCAAAACTCCAATCAAAAGTCTTTTAATACAGAAATGTAGCCAAGAATTCAGGCTTCAATTCTCTATGTAATAGTTAGGGTTTTTGAATTGATTGCGGCGCTTGGCATGCAATCTGCTGAAAAGGTGTAGCCGTAATTTTGGCGCACCCTGTAGTATGAAAAGACTAAAATTCATGAATATAGTCTTTTTAGAGGATGCTTTTATACATTTCAGACTACATTATCGATATACTAAACAATCAAATGATTCAAGGAATCATATAGAAAATAGATGAATAGTTTGAAGATCTCGAATTGGGCCGCCCCTGTATTACAGTATTTACGGTAGCAGTTGTTTTTGAAAGAAAGAATTTAGTTTTTTTAGATAGGATTGGGATTTTGGCAAGTATCATGATTTGTATGAGAAGCTTTTTTTGTTGGCGGAAGTGAGAACGAAATTTGTCAGTATTTGTGTAGGGTAATTTGGGAGCGTTGACGTTTTCGGAAGATTTTTTGTTGACGTTGCACATTGACGTTGTTTTTTTTCCATTATTGTGTCGTTTATTGTTCTTTGAAATTTGTGAAACAAAAAAGTGGTTGATTGTTGATTTGGAGTTCGTTTTTCAAAGTCACAGAGTTGATTTGGCCAAATCAAATTCTTGACATTGATTTGTTTAGCCATGTTTTAGCCAACCCTGACGGTAAAGTCAAAATCCCAACCCTGTTTCACGTTTAGCATTCCACAATGGAAATTCTAATTGAAGAACGGTGAATTTGCGGAACAGTGAATAGTTAAACATTACGTAGATTTGTGAGATGCTTTTTAAGCAAAGTGAATCCATCTGGAAGCGTCAAAGCACTCACTTTTCGTTCGCCATCACTTCTCGCACATATGGAGTGCTCAACGTGGGCATCACTGTTGGTGAGATCATTTGAAAGGTGTTTGATGGCATGGAAAGACCGGGCATGAAACCGGTATGAGCGGCAACCATTTGTCCGCTCATATCAGTGAGTGCTTGAAGTTGAGCGGTGAAAAGTTGTTGTTTTTGATCGTTGATCACTTGAGGGAGATCCTCGTAAGCGATTTCCACTTTGATCACTTGGCCACAAAGGATTCTGAAAGTTTTGTATTGAAGAAAAAAGTAATAGCACAATTTTAGCAATTCACAATTCACAAGTTTTTAAATTGAGAACAACTATGGGAATTATTTAAGCTTCAAAATCGGATCACTGATTTTGAACTTTGAACACTAGATAAAGCTAAATAGCTGAGGTCAATTTCCAATGTTTCTTGTGAAACAAAAGTATTGATATTAGCATTTCACCTACTTTCCATTCATTTCATTCACTGCCTGTTGTGCCTCATGAAGACTCTCATAGAAGGCGTAGGCGAAACCAGGCGGTTTCCTCGCAATCCAAATCCGTTTGAGATTTCCGAAAAGACGAAAGACTTCATGTAACTAAAAACAAAATTGGAAGAGTTTAAGGTTTTGATTTCGTTATGAGAAAATAGCGATGATAATTAGTCTGAAAGTGGAGACAGGAGTTCCACGTATCACGATTGATTTTGGGATATGGCTTGAGCACTTTAAACAAGTCTTCGAAGGTGCCCAAAGCTGATTTCCTATGTAAATAATTTCACATATTAGAAAATATTCTTTATCTTTATTCAACTTTTATGACCAAAGAACTGGAGATGATTCTGCGCCTGAAAGATAGAAGAGCTACAATACCAAGTTTGATAAGTTAAGGGCTTTGTCGCAAATTATCGCATCCTAACCTCATCCGAAGTAGCATCGGGCGGTAAACCACCAATGTAGACCTTGTAGCTTCTTCTTTTCTTCTTCTTGATTGGCCCAATGTTGCCCAATTGTTGCAAATTCTGTAGGTAGGCGGCCGTGAGTTGGTCCATCATTCAAAGAGCCGGGAGACACGTAGTGAGTGGTCTATTGCACGAAGACCGGAATCACTTTTTGTGGGATGATCTGGGGGGTTGGGCGCGATCGGGGGTGGGCGATTCATCCCCCAGATTCTAGGATACGGTAGCCACGCCCATTTCATCGACCTCTACCGTAGTCAGGGTACCTCTATCAATCGTGCCGAGACTCTCTTAACGCTTTTGGGCAAAATGTCTACAACTTCTTTACGAATTTCGCGTTTCGTTTCGAAAAAGAAAGTAGTAAAACATTCAAAAGCGAATCTTGGCTGTTTATCTGCGATTTTTATTTAATTTGCATAAATGTCTAAAAATAAGAAGCTACTCAACTTGTTAACTGAATATCTTTAGGTTTCATACAAGTTATGAACCAATGCAACTCCAAAAACTATGCATTTTCTGGGGTGGCCACTTTGCGCAAAAGACCTAGTTGCGCAAAAAATTTGGCGCAAAGTAGCCACCCCCATTTTTTTTTCTGTTAGACTTGCTTAACGGTCCTTAACGGTTCTGGACTAAAACTTGCTAAAACAAGCAAGCTATGTTCAAGTGTAATATTTTAAAAAACTAATTACTTTGCTGGCATCTTCAGATTTAATGCAAAAGCTTGATAAATTTTTGTAAAAAAACGAAACACTTTGACTGTGACCGGAATCGAACCCTCGTTGTGTCGGTACCGTTAAAAACCGTTAAGCAAGTCTGCACGCAACAACGGATCTTTCCGTTTAACGGGGGGAAAAGATTAACAGGGGGTAAAAGTTTTTGACCATTTTGCAGCCCGATTTTAAGCACCTTAAACTTGTCAGATCAGCAAGTCTTTATAAGCTTTAGATAGCTTTCAGAAAATATTTATTTCATCAAAAGTTATCAACAAAAAACATCTAAAATCGGGCTGCAAAATGGTCCAAAACTTTTACTCCCCCCTCGTTAACCAGGAAGCACGAGCAACTTTTACAACGAACACGCAGACACTTTCCTACCAAAACGCTAAACGATTATTAAAATAAGTTTTTTGGCAAAATTCGACGCAAGATGTAGTTCTTATTTATTCCTATTTAGTTCCTAATTAATTCCTATTTAGTTCCTATTTAGTTCCTTTATAGTTCCTATTTGGTTCCTATTTGGTTCCTTTATAGTTCCGCTTTATAGTTGCTAAATCTTGATCATGATCTTTTTATACCGATTTTTCTATTTTTGTGTGTTGTTTTTGGACATGGAGATCACATATCTGTTTTTTAGATCGCCGACCATTTGATGCGAAGAATCGACGATGAATCACTTGGCCGCCGATGTTCCGTCGATCTCGAACACGAGGCTTTTTGGTGATATCGATAGAGGGGTTGGTTTTGTTTGGTTTGAAAATTTGGGAGGAGTGAGACGTACCAAATCATTTGTATTGGGTGCAATTGAAAAATTTGGCACATCTCTAGTCTTTCAATTTCTCATTTGAAATCTCGTAAGACTTTTAACTTTGTTACTTTGAAAAAGCAATGTTACTTCTAAGTTACTTTACGAATTTTATAAATTGTGGGGGGAGCTTCTCATTATAAAGTTTGAAACTGTACTATTTAAAATCTAGCAAAGGCAATATAAGTCTAGAAATCTAGCTTAAAATAAGCAAAGTAGATTGTAGTCAAACTTTAAGATTGTATAGATCTTGTATTTTGTATGGATTTTTATGTTGTCAATATTAGGTAACTTACCTAACGTTTTTCTTTAGATTCAAGCGGATAAATTGGTTATTCCGGGTTTACCCGTCTCTCAATTGAGCGGCTTTATGCGAGGCCATGGAACATATCTACGAGGCGACGAATTGTACTCATCATTGGCAGGTTTGTTTGAAGATTGAATTTGTTTATTTGAGAGTTTTCAGGAGCCGTTCGACAAGTCAATCGTCTCATCAATGTGCAGAGTGTGAAACAACGATACAGTCCAGAGGTTTGTTAGCAAATTCGAAGAGATTAACTGTAAACATTAGAGTAGATTTGTTTCTTTCAAGCTAGTGACAAGTAAAGTAGCTGCAAGTTCTCCGCAAACTCGAGATTTTAGATTGGTGATGTTGTCGTCGGATCGATTACGGAAGTACAAGAGAAACGATGGAAAGTTGATATTTGCGGTCGCTTAGATGCCCATCTACAGTTGGCGAGTGTCAATTTACCCGGAGGGGAGCTGAGAAGGCTAGTTTTCTCTTTTTCAAAGTTTTTAGTAGAAATAACAAGTTAAACTGCGGCTTAAATTTGATAGATATATTTTTTTTAGGAAAACGACCGAAGACGAATTGGCTATGCGGGATTATCTTGTCGAAGGCGATTTTATTTCAGCCGAAGTGCAACAAGTTCACCACGATGGATCGATATTTTTGCACACACGAAGTTTAAAGTAAGATTTCTTTAGCAATATTTATCTGTGAAAATTTTTTTGGATTAATAATGTATTTATGTCATGAGAGTTCGATCTAGCTATCTAATATGTATTTTTAGATACGGCAAACTTGGCATTGGAGTTGCGGTTCGAGTTCCTTCCTATTTGATCAAGCGACGAAAAACACATTTCCACGCCTTGCCTTGTGGAGCAGGATTGATTATCGGATGCAATGGGATGATCTGGATTTGTGAACAGTAAGTTCTCAGGTGCTTTGTAGCTTTTTTTTCAGTTTTTTTTACTTGAAGCAATATATGTAACAAGGATAATCAAAAAGTGTTATTCAATTTTTAAAGAGCATACTTTTAGGATCTCCGAAGATCCAGATGGTGGCTACAATATTGATCTCAATCAACATGTGCCTGCATCGAATATGAAGGTTTTAAAAGGTTTTCAGATTTGAAATAGTGATTTTAGGTGATTTCACGACTTTTCAACTGTATCAATGTGCTCGCCAACCACGGAATTCACATCTTTGAGACATCGGTTATGAACTGCTACGATTTTTCCTCCGCGTAATTTTTTAAGATTTTTCCATGCGTTTTAAAGTTGATTAGAAATGTAAAAAAACTGGTATCTTAACTTGCAACGAATAAAATTTAGGTATGAAACAAAGGATTTGATGAGAAGCGATGTAGCGGCCGAGGTGGCAGCACAAGTTATTCAACAGCTACGAGCCGATATTATGGATGAATCTTAATTGGTATTGTTAGAATGTTTTTTGTTGATTTTTTAAAATTTTAGATGTTGTTGATTTGTTCGAATAAACTTTGATTTCTTATTGTTTGTGCTTTTTTTAAGCTTCAAAGCTTTATGAATATTTTAAAAAATTTTCGAAATTTTGGCATGCTGTTCTATTATTGGTTTCAAAAATCGGCAAAAGGTTGCGTAATTTCGTGTAGAGAAGAAAGGTTCGGGCTAGCCCCACCCCTTGAATGAGTCACTGCTAAGAAATTGTGTAATCTAGGGAAATTATAGCTATATCTTGCAACTCCTAGGTAACCAGACGCATCTGTTCAGTCGTTCAACGCAAGGTTCAATTTTTACTCTGTAATGTCGCTTTTGAAATGTCATACCAGTTCTAGAGTTTGATGCCTAAATTTTTTCCTTTGAATCATTGCTTGGTGGAAATTGCAATGTTGGCATTGCCAACCGGGCAGCATTGAGAACTTTGTTTTACCGATACCAATGTCCTTTTTATTTCTTGGTGGTCAGTTCTTAAAAAGACAGATATTGAGAGACACAAAGCAGACAACCACCTGACGCTATGTCCCGTTGTTCTATGCCATATGATCTCTTGGAAAATCCAGAGCTTTCGCCATTCTTCAGGCTCTTCTGGCCGTTGTAGGGCCAGAAATATTTCACCAGACTTAAATAAGTGGAATGCTAGCAATCTTTAGGTATCTTTTTGTTTAAAAATTGAAATTTTCATTTTTTTGTCCGCTCTTTCGTAGCACTTCATCATAGAGCTTTTATCAAATAACAGGTTTTTTTACGTGAGTGCTCCCAATTGTTTTGGTTCAATTCATATCGATCAATTTGTTTTTTGAACAGGTAATTTTTATCGGGTACGTAACGCTTTTCTCTATTTCACCCTTCGCCAGGGGCTCTTGTTGATATCACACGGGGTTGTTTACATGCACTTCTCTCGGTCAAAATAACGTTGGAACTGTGTGGGGGAATTGGGGTTGAAATTTCCCATCTCTCATTCACATGTCATCTCAAGAAATGCGGGATTTTCATTAACCTCGTCAATCTTCACGGGGTCCTATTCCCGCATTTCCGTGTGTTGGCAGTTTTCTCTCTTTTCTCGAAGCATAGCGAAAGAGGAAAGAGACGGCAATCGATTGGGGGTGAGTGGGGGAAGTGAGGGATGGCTCTTCTCCCACTTCTCTCTTCCTCTCTTTTTCCCTTTCTCGCCCCACTTTCCTCATTTTCCCATTGCTTCGTTCGTCTCTCATGTTTTCCCTTTACTATTTTTCATCTCGCTTTCCAGGTCCCATCCTTATCCTCTTCCGGTCTCAACTGCATCCACGCCATCGTCCAGTCATCTAGTTTGCTTGTTTTCGAACTCATCAGTCGAGGCAGTTATTTTTTTGGTTTATTGCTTGGTTAGCTGGTTTATTCATAAGTAAGTGTAGGAGTTAGGGTGACGAATTCTGACTAAAAGCTGCTTTAATTATCTTTAAAATAGTTGACCTGAGATTAGCAGTGTGAACTCAAACTAAATTAGGTTATAAAAGGTTGACACTTTTGCGATTATTGAATAAAAGTGTCCTTGTTCCCGTGTTTTTTCTCTTTGATAGTTTTTGGGTCCGTCATTTAGCTACAACTTTGATCACACCCTCAATTTGCTATAGCCGCTCTGACCTGAAACTAGTGTATCCAATCTTTTGAAAAATAGATGCCGTTATCATTTCTAGACCGCTCTTTCAGCATTAGTAGGGGTTTTGGCACAAAATACGCTTGGGCAGTGCTTTGTGTACTGACTCGAGAACCACTATCGATTTTCACTTCTCACTAACTGTCACTCTTTTTTGTGTTGTCAGTAGTGGGATGACGTGTCTACCTAGTTACGGAGAATCATTTCCAACCACCGCTTGTTCTTGTTGACATACCCGTGCCCGATGAAATATTTGCGGTTCTCGATATTGCCTGTCGTTTTTTTGAAAACGCTTTCTTGCCACAATTCATCGATTTTCACCGTGATTTGGTTTGTAATAGTGCTAAGATTTTGATCGATTTCGGCAACTTTCCGCACTCCCATCAATCAGATATGACTTTTCTGTTTTTGTGAACTTTTCTGTTTCTCTGTCGATTTGTTCAGGTTTTCAAAATCTTACGCAGCACTGGTTCCATTGAATGGTCAAAAATCCGGAGCTCTTATTTTTTTCGAATTCATCTCCAAAAACACGATACACGATAGATACACGAAATCTCCGAGAGAAATTCCATGGCGTTGCTAGGCGAGAAATTTAGGCCGCTTGTTTTTTGATAATTTGCTCGACGTGAACATGTTTTGGACAGGAAATCCCCAGATCCTGAGTGTTTACGCAAATTGTGAAATCGTTATCTTAAGGCGCTACCAATCGATTGTTTTTCAAGGAAAAGTTATTTTTCATTTCATTTTTTCTTATCTTGCTCAAAATTCTTTTGACCGGTCATATTTTCAGTTACTGCCCGTTTACGCTCTTTCTTCGCTTCATATTTACTGAAAATGACGACTCCATCAAGACGCCGACTCATGAGGGATTTCAAAAAACTTCAGGTTTGTTGGCTTTTATCTGTTCAAAAAGATAGTAGAGCGGCTCAGATAGGATTTACTAGACTTAGCTTTCTCCATGGATTAAATTATATTGGAAAATAAATACAATCTCGACAGTGGGTTGATGTTTTTAAAACTAAAACATAAAATCTACCGAATGGCTGGTTCTGTTTTAGCCGTGATTACGTGTAAGCCATCTAATTCTCATAAGTAAAGCACTCGGAGATTTAACTGTATAGTGGTATGTGGTTCATTGTTATATTAGTTTTTTTTTAAAGTTGACACTAAATTAAAAATTTTAGGAGGACCCTCCAGCTGGCGTGTCAGGAGCCCCGACAGAAAACAACATTCTGACATGGGAAGCGATCATTTTTGGACCACAGGACACACCCTTTGAGGTAATTAAGGCTACTTCGAATTTATTCCATTTGCCCTTATTGACCTTGTGAAAATTGGGATTTTCTTTAGGATGGCACTTTCAAGCTGTCTCTTGAGTTCACAGAGGAATATCCAAACAAGCCACCGACAGTGAAGTTCATCTCGAAAATGTTCCATCCCAATGTTTACAACGACGGCTCGATTTGTTTGGACATCTTGCAAGTAAGGATGTTTTCTGGATGGGATAAAGCTTTATAAAAAAATTCAAGAGTAAAAAATACAAAGGTCTCGATCGATCGAAATAATTCTTGTTAATTTCATGTTTTTAGAATCGTTGGTCTCCAACCTATGATGTTGCGGCCATTTTAACATCGATTCAATCCCTTCTCGACGAGCCGAACCCGAACTCACCAGCGAACTCCCTTGCCGCTCAACTCTACCAAGAGAGTCGACGAGAGTACGAGAAACGAGTTCAGCAAATTGTTGAACAGGTGCGCTTTGTGATTTATTGTGTAATTCCAATTTGTAATTTTAGTCTTGGTTGAATTTTGGTGAAAACGAGGGTGAAGCAGAACAAAAGGAAGGCGAAAACACTGCCATTGAGACGCCTACAGGTAAATTTTGTTAGTATGCTTTTTAAAAAACTTATGATTAAAATCAAACGGTATAATTATACAAGATTGTTCGAGAGTTAAGGTTCGATAGGTTTATTGACAATTTTAATACTACTTGACAAGCTTCCATATTTTATCTCACTTTAAACAATTTCTTTTAGAAGGTGGTGAAGGTCCAAGCGAACCTCGAGATCACGATGCCCCATCTGGAAGCGGCTCCGTTTAAATAGTACTTTCATATTCTTCTGGTAATTGTTTGTTAAACTTGAGGATCGTAAAAATATTATCAAATTAATTTCTTAATCTAGGAATGATTCTTTGGCTTTTAAAATCGTTATTCTTCGTGACTCAGTTGCTTTTTTTTTGTTGGAAAGACAAAATCGGTTATGCTCTTCTGCTATATCATTTTTCGTTTTTGTCTACAGTCTCCGTCCCGGTGTAAAGACGTAAAAATTGTGTTACCCAAGGCCTGAGAAAGTTTTTCACATTGCTTTTACTCTTTCTTTTCGAATTCATCAGCGACCGAATTCCGGGTTAGTGAAGAAGTAAAAGTTCGAGTTTGAAATTCGTGATCAAACTCTGCTTCAATTCCTCGAACTTTTTCGAATTCGCTTTTGTACATAACCGTAGTGTTACTCGTCAACAAACATCATAGTCGAGGGCCTAATCCATTTTTTGATCACTCATTGTCTTATATTGTATTTTTTGTATAGGCTATATGCTGTAAGTTTAAGCGCCACTTTTGTTACAAATCTCCTCTCATATTCAGAGCATACCTTTTTGTAAGTGAATTAAGCCACGGCGAATCCATTATGCACTTATCCTTTTTTTTTGTAGATGTTCATCATTCTTTATCTTTTTCCTTTCAACTACCACTTGCTGCGTTTTGCTTATTTTCAATTTACACACAAATTTATGTTTCAATCGAAAAATGATTGAATAAATATTTCACTAAAGTGTTTGTTTAAACAAATTGCATCTTATGGCGGTTTTGACTTTTTCACAAACAAATCAGCAATCGAATTTTACATTTTTCTTAAAGATGAACAATTTTCGCCAACAATATGTGACGCGCATGTGTGTCGGTGTTGAACAGGAAGCAAGTCAACAAGATGTGAATAAGGTACTGTTCAACAACTTTTGTAGCAAAAGAAAGCAATACAAATACAGTAGTGGATATACATATAAATAGATCATATACCTACTACTAAAACTTACTAACTAAAAATAAAAGAGCTTTGTGTTTTGTAAAAGTGTCTTCACGTTTATGTTTTAGTTGTTCGATTCAAGCAAGGATTACAATCTGGAACGGTTTCGCGAGTTCTCTTGGAAGTTTCGATTATTGCCACCGTCAAGGCTTGGCGTTAATTTAATCTTGATTATCATAAGGTTTAGGCGTAAAATATGGAAAGTCTTGTTACAAGTGTTGCCTGAATATCGTGAAAATGATGAACGGATAATAGCGAGCAGACTACATGAGGTATTCTTTGTTTTTTAATACTGCTTGAAGATAAAAGCGGCATAGTATTTTTTTACCTCGGTAGATTTCTAACTATTTTCTCGTATCGGTAAATTATGAAGTTTTAGGCCGAATTGCTTTTCAACTGTTTGAAAACGACTCGCGAATTGGAATGCTTGGAGGTCCGGCGTAAGCAAACGAGTGGAAATTCTGGTTGGTTTTTGTTGTTAACCTTAAAATATCGGATAATTTTTGGGCATGCTTTTGACGAAAGGTGACGTTTAAAATATTATAAACTGAACTATAAAATTTAGCTCCAATGATCCTTCACATAGCAAGCAGCACCCGGAGCACTGTCGATGGAGAGTTGAGTGATTCTGGTCAGTGTTTGTTTCATTAATCGTTTACTTTCTTTTTTTGATAATTACTTTACGACCATTTTCATTTCGATCTTTTTCAGATTCGACCATTGTTGAGACGAATGAAAAAGAAAATATCCCAGGACAATTAGTCTCGACTTTGGACAGACCATCTGCCATTGATCTTGCGACGATGATTTTACTTTCGGATGGGATGATTCATGAGAGGCGAACCTTGAAGAAGAGCTATCCATATTATATTCCGGTAAACTTTTTTGAAATTTTAGCTAAAGACCATTTGACATAGCTTTTTCTAACTATGATAACACCCTATTCAGGTATGCGAGCAAATGCTGATTCTTTGTGAGCCAGAAAATTGGGCGGATGCTTTTCATTTGTCGAGAAGAGTACTCAAGCTCATGGCGAAAACGTTTGGAGATGAGGACCAGATGCGCAAAACGCTAAATGAGGTATAACAAAACAAGCAAAAATTGAAATTGGAAGCGGAAAGGACTGATAAAAATTTTCTAAGAGAAACCGAGTTTTTTCCAAAGCAGGATTCGAACCTACCTACGAGCCCATTTAGATAGCTCGGAATGATTCGAGTCAAACTCCTTAACCACTCGGACATGGCTGCACATCCCTTGCAGGCCGGAAAAGGCTTACCAAGGGGTGCTTTTGCAAAAGTTGTTTGTTTCATTGTTTGCTAAGAGTCAAACAAATGTTGTTTCAAAGCATTAATGTTCTTTTCAGATACACGAGCGATTAGCAAAAGAAATTGAAATGAATTCGGGTCTTTGTGAACGGGCGACTTTCGGGAAACTTCCAATTCGGCATTGGTTGCTCGGTGCTGGAACGCAAATCATTCACACACCACGCGCTTTGCAACGGTTTGTTTTATGATAGATTACCAGAGATTAGTTAATTTAGAATTTTACAAGTAGCTTATTGTTCTTAGGTATTTTGGTACTGTTGTAGTATATGAATCCAATTTTGTTAAAATTTGCTCATTTCAGTTTCTGGGATAAACTTCTTACTGGTGAGGCTTCTCGCGTTCTCATGGTTCATCTAATCGTCGAGTTGCTCATCACAATCGATAAACGTTTCGGGGATGACCTTCATATGGTAAATTTCAATTATAAAGTATCGGAATAACTGTTTAAATTTAGTCGTGTGAATTTCGTTTATCTGATGAGGGTGATATGCGGCTAGTCGGACGGGTTCTCGATCAAGTAGCGTTTATTTTTTTTTTCAAAATATTATAATAACAGTGCAATAAAGATTGTTCTACTTCAAATAATACGGTAACTTTATGAAATAACAAATGTTTTCATCATTATTTGTTTTCAGGTGGCAAAAAGTGGCGGTCGAAAATCGACATCTGATATTCGACGTCCAAGAGTGCCTAATATTTTATGATTTGTACATATTTTTTTGCTTTAAATTGTTTTTTTTTTTGTTTTAGGAGTGTTTTTATGGGCTTAAATAAAAAGTTATATAAAAATACGATAATCTATAGCATGAATTTATCGTTCTATCTATGAAAAGTAAACATTGTACACTTTGTTTTTGATTTCTTTCAGTTCGAAGATCACTTTGTAAACAATTTGTCATCGAATTGATCTGAGAAAAAGACTAAAGAGAGTTAGGATAGAGGCGGGAAAAGGACAGAGAGGTAGACTGAATATCGATTGTCTTGGGGTGTGTATTGGGAAAGCAGAAAGGACGGCGGCGTTGGGTTGGGGTGTCAGCTGAGAAAGAAAAGAGAGAGAAATATTCTACGTCGATGATCCATCTCTCTTTCTTTCCAATTTTCTCATCTTTTCTTTTCAATCACATGTCGATCAGTTCATTTTTGTTTTTCCATGAACTCTACTCTATCCTTTCATTTTTTTTGCCCTTTTTTCTTGTAAATTGAAAATGACCTTCGCGAATTGATTTTCGCTTTGGTCAAGAGTTTTCTCCTGTAAAAGATCAAGATATTCACTGAAGATCTATTCTATTTTAAGTCTTTCCTAGATTTGTCTGTAAAAATGCTGGTCGAAATGTAAGTTACGAGATCTTTTGGGTATGCAAAGACCTTTGCCTGCAGATTGCAACCCTGTTAATTGACATAAAACTCATTTGCAAATCTGGCGCTCTTACCGTACTCCTAAATGATTCTAAAATGTGAATTTGGTGAACTTTTGATAAACATTCATCAAAATTTCCCCTCCATAAAGTTCAAGAGTTTCAATTTCGCAAGAAAACACGAGAAATCTATAGACATACAAGCTTGGCATAGCCATGTTTTTGCTTTCAAAAACGCAAATATTTTTCTGTTTGACATTGTTAAACTTTTATTAAAAAGCGTTAAATTTTCGCACAAAGCTCGTCACCCTCATTTTATTGCATTTTCTCTATAGAATTGCTATTTTTTTTTCCCCTTTCACCCGGTCAATAGATATTTGAACAGATTCATTGAAAGTTATAGAAAAAAAAAACGAAAAAAAGTTTGATTTCAAAAAATTGATTTTGTCAAAGGAAAATTGCGAATTCTCGTTTATCGAGTCATCTGTTGGAGAAATTCAACAAAATTCGGGGGAATTCGTGAATTTCTGTGCAAATTTCCCCCTCATAAATTTCAAAAGAATGAAAGGCGTTGTTGGGGTGAAATTGTAAGTTTTTAATTTTAAGTTTATCGAAAATTTTCTCACAATTTCTCAATTTCAATTTACTGAAGAAAATGGAGAGGTTTTGCAAATTGAGATTTCTGTTCTTAGAACACTTTTTTTTTTTTCTTCGCCTTCATTTCTTCCAAAAATCACTTCGAATCGGGGTGATAAGCGCTTTGTTTTTGCGTGTCTCGGGTCAAATTGATTCTTGAGGTTTTTTAGCTCAATTTTTCGCCATTTTTTTAACTGATTTAAGCTGATTTTGGTAAATTTCGAATAGCTTTATATCTAAATTAGATCTTCCTTGACATAGCTCTGTATAAGAGTTCAAATATTGGAGAAATGTTGTATTTAGCTCTGATTGGGGACAAAGAAACGGATTTAGCTGCTTTTAGCTGATTTCGATAAATTTCGAATAGCTTTATATCTAAATTTTGATAGTAAAATTATAAATGAAATTTTAAACGATATTTTCATATTTTTTAGGGGTGTAATGCGCGATCTCGGACCACTCACCGGCTCCGAGGACAAGAATTGCACCCATGGAATTCAATGGATTCATAGGGTTTGTTTAAAAAGAAAATGAAACTCTAGAACAATTAGAACTAGGACAGACAGGACTCTAGAACAAAAAAAAGGACCCTTTTCCATTAGATCCCATGATCAAAAAGATTAAATGCTTATCTTCCTTGACATAGCTCTGTATAAGAGTTCAAATATTGGGGAAATGTTGTATTTAGCTCTGATTTGGGACAAAGAAACGGATATTCTTGCACCTATTCTTGGCCTAACTTAGATAACAATCAAAAATTGATTCTAGAACTATTCTAGAATAAAAGCAAGAGGCTAACAAATTATTAAAACATGAACTCATTGAAAAGAAAAATCTATTCTTCAGAAATTCTTCTTTTCAAAGAGTTTATAGAATAAGTAGCTAGATCATTATAATTTATTGAGTTTATAAAACTTGCGCAAAATGATTCTTCTAGATTTTCGGTGACTGTGTGGACAACGAGTTGAAGTTGGTGGCTTTCGCGATTGGTTTAGTGTCACTCGTTCTATGGATGATGCCGATGATCCCACAGTTTCGAGCAAACTATAAGAATAAATCGTGTGCTGGCATTTCGTTGGCTTTTCTCCTTTCTTGGTAAGTTTTTCAAAATGAATACCGTATTTATTCTAAAAGAAACGCATGCGCTTCTTTCTATTTTTCAATCATTCCACAAAATTTCTTCTATTTTTAATGACTAAAAAAAATTTTGTGATTTCGTAGAAAGAAAACCTTTAGGTAACAACCAATTTAAAACAATTATATTCAAAAAAAAGCATTATTCTCGATAGCGTTAGATTCGCTGACTTTAATCGAGATGTCACTATTGTAGTCAACGCAAGAACATGCAAGGAAAGCTACTGATTAAGCAATAATGAACTTTAGCAATGATTTTTAAGCAGTACATGCAGTACATCTAAGCAGTACATCTAAGCAGTACATTTTTAAGCAGTACGTCTAAGAAAAAAAAAACTAACAAAAAGCAAGAAAGATTCTTTGCTAAAGGATTGGATATTAAAATATAAAACATTAAAATGTTTAAAGTTTTAGAATTTTATATAAGTTAACTTCAGCTTAAGCTTAAGCTGTTTAAATAACTATTGGGTTGATGCATAATTATCCGGACTTCTTTTTGCGTGCTTGTATCTTTTTTGTTTTGAAAGCTTTTTGTCTATTTCTTTTTTTTAAATATTCGTTATTCTTTAGTGAACAAAATGCGTGTCGACAATCATATCCATCTTCGCCATATCATGCTCTACCACTTCGAAAAGGGATGGTCTGCCGCAGAGTCGTTTCGCGATCTCAAAGAACTGGAGAAGCCCCAACGGACTACCACGTCAATCGATCGCTCAAAAATTGGCAAACAAATAAGATCTACAACGATTTGGATGACTTGATAGACGATGTTAAAGCGTGGATTGCCTCCAAAGATCGTTTATTCTTCGCTCGTGGAATCGATCGTCTTCCAAGCAAATGGCAATCAGTTATTGATGTAGGCGGTGAATATGCTCCAGAATAATCAATTAAACATATTTTTCTAACTATTTATGTTATTTTTTGTTAAATAAAATCATTTATAAAAGAAGTCCGGATAATTATGCATCAACCCAATATTTTAAGTTATTTGATTTGTTAATTTGATTCAAACAAGTTCACTACCTAATTGCAAGAAAAACTTATCAAAATTGCCAATGCTTATGCAAAAGAAATGATAAAGAATTCGGGAGTGGGATAAATGCTACCTTTTTTTGCGCACCCGGACATTTGCGCACCTTTTTTTCCGCACTTAGCCATTGTTGATTTTTCTCTTTGTATAACTCCGTCCGTTCGCTTCTACAAGCTCTGATATGCCAAAATTTGAATTCGACACCCTAAAATTACCTAGAAAAACAACTTTTGGAATAGAAATTGGTTAATATTAGCTTTTAGAGCTTTTTTAAAACGCGAAAAATGGTGCGCTAAAGGGCTAAGTGCGGAAAAAAAGGTGCGCAAATGTCCGGGTGCGCAAAAAAAAGGTCGCATTTGTCTCACTCCCAAGAATTCAATTTTTCTCTAGGAAATGGTTATATAGCTTTAAAGACTCAAAACTAAGGTTATTCAGTCTACTAAGCTGAATATCTATAGTTATTGCTTCTATTAGAGGCTGTGCTTCTATTAGAATAAAAAACGGTATATCTTTAAACTTTTAAAATCATAGTTTCAAGTTCTCACGTTTCTTGTAGCACTTTGTTTTGCTCAATGACGTCTTTAATCAAGAACTCCATTTTATCGATTCTCAAGGAAATGGTTATATAGCTTTAAAGACTCAAAACTAAGGTTATTCAGTCTACTAAGCTGAATCTCTATAGTTATTCCTTTTATTAGAATAAATACGGAACAAATTAAGTGAAATAAAGACTCAATTTTGTGAAGTTTTGTAAACTCATCATAAATGCTTCAGGATTTTCGGTGACACATGCAATGCTGTGGGCGCGATTCTCACCAATCAACAAGCCATCCAGCAGGCTGTCGGAATCGTTTACGTCGTTCAGGTTTACAAAATTAAAACTAGAATAAAAGTCTGTACAAAATCCGTTTCGGTGAAGCTTTTAGTACTCTAAAATATACAAAATTGATGCAAAATGCTTTCATTATTGAATTCAAAACTATCAATTTATTTTCTTCAAGTTAAACGAGTACTAGCGATCTCCTCAACTGCTTTCCTCAACTGCTTTCTTTCAGGACATTCTCGTCGCATCTCAATATGTCTACTACACTCGAGTCTACCATAAGTTGAGGCCAAATCATCGAGGTTATCAGATAGAAAATAGATCATTGAATGAATGAATTAATTACATTGGATTACATACTGTCAACAAATCAGAATTTAGGCCCAACCGCAACGCTTTCTTGTTTGGCGATCGCTGCTTTTGGGTCGTATTGTTTGATCGGTAAAGCAATGCCGAATGGAGAGAATGTTTTGCGATATGAGGTGAGTGAAATGAAACGAGTTTAAAAGTCAAAGATATGCATCTGGCTGTAAAGCTAAAACTTTACATCCAGGGAGATTTGTTAGACCGAGTAACAGCAAGTGATTGATCCAAAATGTGAAATAACAATTGCAGTAATAGAATTAGATTTTTCATTGGGAATTTGTCGAGCTAGGTCAACCCAGGGGAAGGTTAGAAGACAAGTCTCTGTCTGGTTTTACTGTAGAAGCCAGAAATGGACTCGGGCTCTGGCCGGGGTTCGATTTGGCTTGGCTTTCAATCCTGGAGCCCGGTTGGATCACTCTTGCCTAGGCTAGGAGTTAGCAAAATCATTTCACGGCTTTGCAAACTTTACAAACTTCAAACTATTTCCCATTAAACTTATATATAATTTCGAAATGTCAGTCTGTCCATCGGAGCTCAAGCGGCCGCAGGAGTGAGTTTTTCTGGAAACGGCCGAGATGTAGTTGTGCCTTTTGAAAACCGTTTCAAAAACCCAATCGAAAAGTTATGTTCGATTTTTGGGCCACCATGGGGTGCACACGTGGCTCGTGCGGTGCACAATGGCCGCGTGGCTCGCTCGGTGCACAATGGCCACGTGGCTCGCGCGGTGAACAATAGCCGCGTGGCTTGCGCGGTGCACAATGGCCGCGTGGCTTGCGCGGTGCACAATGACCGCGTGGCTGAGTGCAAGAGGTCAAGGGCTCGAATCCCCCTCGGATCAAGCATTTTGCTTTAAATATAACTTCAGCGCTCAGTCTCCCGGGTTCTCGAGGCGGCCACGATTCCCTCCACTTCCAACTATCCACCTCGACTCGGCGCTCCCGATTGGTGGCCGATTTTCGAGAGCTACACGGATTTTGTGAGTATTTTAGATTTAAAAACAATGCTATTCATTATGTAAAAGCAGGCCGAAAGCCGAAAAAGGCAAGACGAAAGAGCTAGAAGTAGTTGAAATACGATTTGCAGGCCGGTTACATAATTGGTTGCGTTGCTTCAATCGTTTATTGTGTGGGACGAATTCCGCAATTGATCTACAATTATAAGAGGTTAGTTGAAAAAATGGGAAACATTATTTTTCAGGAAGCTTTTTTCAGGAAAAGTTGTGAGGGTCTCTCGCCTGCAATGTTCTACATAACAGTGGCCGCAAATTTCACTTATGGAGTCTCGGTGATGATGGCTTGTACGGGATGGCATTACTTTTGGAGGTTTGATATGAGAAAAATGAACTCTTCTGTAATATAAGCAAAGTTTTAAAGACATCTAGAAAAATTCTGTTTTCTAAAAGTTTGCAAAGCTACTGTCACCTTTCAAATTTTGCTTTTCTCAATTAATTTTGATTCTATTCAATTCACAGTTTTTTTTTTACTTCAGTTAAATTAACAAAGAAATTTCAACTGACTGAGCCGACCAAATGCTATATGACCTATACCATTTGACGCAGAATTTTATGCTGATTCCGAATATGGATTCTGTTTTTGCTAAATGATAATCTACTAAGCGTTTAAAGGACTCTGAAAGGACGTTTTGTTAGGACTCTGAAAATGCGCCCTGAAATGTGCTCTGAAAATGTGCTCATTTGGGTGTTAAAGGCCTCCCTGCGGACCGTGGTCAGTGCAGTCGTGGCCGAGTGGTAGAGCGTTCGTTCCCAGAGCGACACCTCGCGAGTTCGGTTCCGGCTTTGGTTTTTTCTTTTGCTTTCTTTAAAAAATTGCATTCTTTATCATTTTCATTTATCAATTCAAATTCAAGAAGTTGAAGAATAGTGTTCTTTGTGTATATTTCTTGTTTGAAAAAACAACTTCAAGAATTTAGTCAGTTGACTTTCCCTTGTAAGTAGGATCAGAGAAAATCAGAGAAAAAGATCACGATGCTCTTTTAAAATACCCTAGCTTTTAGAAAACATGGTTATCGTACTGTAAAGTGAAAATCGTACTGTAAAGTTACAATACGATTTTCAAAATTGTAAGATTGTAAGAGCTTTCTAATACCTTCGATACCGTCAAACTAAATGAATAGCGTTTCAGACATCTCCCGTGGATCGTGGGTGCAATTGGCTGGGGATTCTTGGATTTCCTGGCTATTATGCAGCTTTATCAATACAGAAAAGTGGCGGCTCATGAACGCGATCGTGACAGTCTTTTGCAGAACACCGACGATGAGGAATAGGGGGTTTTTATCCAATTTTCTAGTCACTTCTATGAAATTCTATGAAATTTTGCAAGCCTAGACGCTTAATTTTTGAATTAAACACGGTGAAATTTGTTCACTTTACTTGCCAAATCGATTCTATCGACTAGTTAAAGTTAAAGGTAAAGACTAGTTAAATTTCAGTCTAAGGACTCAGTCTAAACTGTTGCTCAATTCTCTATAAATTCTCCATTTTCCATTCTTCCTACTTGTGATATTCCTTGTCATTCATCAATTTTCTGTTGTCTGACTTGTTTCGTCTCTTATTTTCCACAAACTGGTTCTCTCCACTTCAATATTTCTCTTCCATTCACGGGTTTTATTTACTATACCTTATAGGTATTTATGTATATGAACGCTTCACTTTTTTGCCTCAGTTTTTAATAAATATTATGAGATGAAACTGCGAAAATGTCAAGTTATGGGAGTGGGACAAATGCGACCTTTTTTTTTGCGCACCCGGACATTTGCGCACCTTTTTTTCTGCACCTTGCCCATTAGCGCACCTTTAAAACCTTTAACACCTTTAAAAAAGCTCTAAAAGCTAATATTAGCCAATTTCTATTCCAAAAGTTGTTTTTCTAGGTAATTTTAGGGTGTAGAATCGAATTGACATATCAGAGCTTGTGGAAACAAACGGACGGAGTTGTACAAAGAGAAAAATTGACAATTTTCTGTAAGTTGATCTAGCCGTTTTGTCTTTCAAATTGGTTCCACAAGCTCTGATATGCCAAAATTTCGATTCTACGCCCTAAAATTACCTAGAAAAACAACATTTGGAATAGAAATTGGTTAATATTAGCTTTTTAGAGCTTTTTTAAAAAGCGAAAAAAGGTGCGCTAATGGGCAAGGTGCGGAAAAAAAAGGTACGCAAATGTCCGGGTGCGCAAAAAAAAAGGTCGCATTTGTCCCACTCCCCAAGTTATATACAAAAAAAGAGCCAAATTATTTAGAAAACTTCTTAGCCGAGAAGAACGATTCTGAATGTTCTTCAACAAATTCACAACGATTTAGCCGTACAAACGACGATGATTTTTAGGTGTCGACTCAAGTTTTTAAAAACTTTTGTTATTTATTTCATAGAAAGCTACGGTAACTTTCTACTAGTTTTCAAGAAGAGATTCAGGGCTATCGAATGACGACAGTAGTTGAGTTTATCTTTCAATTTTCACCAAATTATAAGCAAAACAGTTGACTCGACTGTACGCTCAAAATACCGTTGTCGCGAATGTGTTAAAAGAAAATTGGCTTCTAGAAATAGTGGTGGATCAAAATCGAACACGAGATTCCATTCCACTCCTGCGGAGACACAGAAATTGCGGAGCAAGAGCAAATCAGCCAACCGAGATCTCAAAAGTGATCCACTAAAAGTAGATGAAATAGAACATTAAGACTTCAGCTTATTTGTGCATTTGTGCATCCCCTACCGGGTGCGTTCCAAAATTTTTTAGAGAGACTTCGAGGGTCTCGGGTTAATGCTAACCTCAAACTTGGGTAATTAAACCAAAGAGGAAGGTCTCTGTCGTGCTATTTGTGCCGGTCATGTGCCAGATGCCACTTTTTCCTACGAGAGACACGAAGGGTACACACAGTCTCGCGTCTCGCGTCTCTGAGGACAAACAGGATCTCTCTCCTCTGAGTATTCCAGACCTCGCCTGCTGGCGACTATCCCACCTTGAAAACACGGCATGCCGCGATGTTAAGTTAAGCAATTGACAAGTTAAGCAACGTTGGGCTCGGTTAGTAATTGGATCGGAGACGGCTTTGGAATCCCGATTGTCGTAAGCTTTTTGTTTTGTGTCGATATAAAAATTGATGATTTGACACGGGCGAAGACAACGAACAACATGTGTTTCGACTCAATTTCACCACTACAACATGACCTATTTTTCAAAATTTCCTCCACCATATAGTGGAAAGACCCTGTGATTCCGCACCACTGCTACGCTCAAAATACTTATAAATTATCTTATAAAGATATTATAAGACCTTTCAAGGGCTCGATGCGTCGAGATCTTGGTCGAGCTGCGTCTTCCTATTGTGCCCGAGGAGGTTCCTTTCAAGGGCTCGATGCATCGTTCTCAGGGCTCGTTCGGTGGTCGTTCGGTCGATACTCAACAATTTGCGTTAATTACAAACATATTTGTTTATAAACATTAATAAAGCCTTTTAAAAATGATAAAAGAGACAGTTTAACTAGAAATGAATTCTTTAAAACCTTCAAAAAGACAGGAAAAGCAAAAAACTTGATAAGGCTAGGTCAGGCTTAAGGAGGTCAGGCTTAAGGAGGTCAGGCTTAAGGAGGCTTCATTCTCCTTAGGCTTTGAGGCTAGGGAGAATGAAGCTTTGGTTTGGGAATTTTATCCTCCAGCTTTGCTGCAAAATACGAAATTTTCAATTCTACAGCCATTTGTTTAGGCTATCGGGCCGATCTTCGAATTGGAATGTGCATTCTGCGTTTTCCAAAGCTATTTGTCCCATCTTTGATGGTTTATTGAATCAAAAAGTGGTTCCGATTTTCTATCGACAGATAATTAAAGGACTAAAATTTGATTTTTCATTACTAAAACTATAAATTGTTGTCTTTGCAATCGAACAAATTGATTGTCACTCAAGATTAGCGGAGTGCGTAATCGTGCGCTTTCTGGCACACAGGGCAGACAGATAGCGAGAAAGCGGTCACCAAAGTCGGTTTAATTACCCAAGTTAGAGGTTAGTATTAACTCAGAGACCTACATAAAGTGTCTCGAGAAATTTTGGAACGGTTTTCCCTATTGGGAAGTCTAAAGTCCTATCTGAAAGAATCCACCACTTTGCACTTGATCTGCAAGTTTTCTGTTGTGACAATAAAGAAACTGAAGTTTAAAATTCAAAAAAACCATGCTAGTTTATGCAAAAGCTGACTTTCAATCGGTGACTGTTCGGCAAAAAACTTACGGCACTGGGGATTCCCAAGCCGTCTCCGATCCAAGTACTAACCGAGCCCAACGTTGCTTAACTTGGCAGATCGGACGGGATGCCGTGTTTTCAACGTGGTATGGTCGTAAGAAAGTTGTGGCACTGAGAGAAGGTTGAAATAGGTGGCCTCCAGAGAACACGAGAGACGCAGCCCTCGCAGAGACGCGAGACGACACGACTGTGTGTACCTTTTATCTGGCTCGTAGCAAAAAGTGGCATTTGGCACATGGCCCGTCCATATAGGGCGGCAGAGACCCTAATCGTTGGTTTAATTACCCAAGTTTGAGGTTAGCATTAACCCCGGGACCTTCCAACAGTGTCTCGAAAAATTTTGGAACGCGTCCCCGTTAGGGGATGCAAAAATGAACTTAAAAATGTGAAGTGTGTCGAAGCTTTGATGTTTTATTTAATTTTTACCGTGATTTATATAAGAAATGTGTCAACTCTTCACTTCACTTTCAGTGAAACGGTTCGAATTCTGTTTACAGTATCCTATCCTTTACAGTATCCTATACCCCCAACAACACGACTATCATCAGCACGCATAGGTATCAAAAAATAGCTGAAATTCAGGGCTATTTTTTGATACCAAAGACGCATTTTTTGAAAGTACGGTCGCTTTGAAAAAATGAACCACCCGTGTCGGAGAATAATCAATCATAGCACCATTACGATTTATCATTTGAAAAATTCTGGCATTCATACTTCCAGTGAGACCTTGCAGGGCTACCGGGTCGAGGTTGGCAATCATCCAAGAATTCGTGAGTTGACTCTTGTGAATGGGCGCATTATCCTGTTGAAAATTTGTCACGGTCGGATTTTGTGCAAGAAAAGGCACGAGACCAGAACATCGAGAACATTGATGTATCTTGGCTGACACGAACTTCAAACTGAGCACACCCTGGGAAAAACTGGCCCAAACCACAAAGTTACCTCCTTTGTGCAAAAATTGATTCCCAATTCTCTAGATCGATCCACAAAATAGCAAAAAAGCTCCCGACACTCGGGATTCCCAAGCCGTCGCCGATCCAAGTACTAATCGAGCCCAACATTGCTTGACTTAGCAGATCGGACGAGATACTGTGCTTTCAACGTGGCAGGTCGTAATCGTTTCACCAGGCGGTGAAAAATGCAATAAAAAATGAAATAGCCAAGGAACGAGAGAACCTTGCTCGACGAAGAGACGCAAGACCCTTGTGTGCACCTTTCGTGTGTCTCGTAAGAAAAAACAGCATCTGGCACACGGCCGCTACACAAAGGACGACTGATACATGGTGGGTCGGTTTAATTACCCAAGTTTGAGGTTAGCATTAACCGCGAGGCCTTCTTAAAGTGTTTCGAAAAAATTTTGGAAAGCGTCTCCCAGAAGGAGATGCACCAAGCAAACTTTTTCTCAACCATTCGAGTCGTTTACTAAAAAATGATAATTCAAGTGGTTTGCTGAAAAAGTCATCTCAAATGCGAAGATAAAAAATGAAGATTTTTTTTTGCGCGCGAGCCCCACTGATTCACTTTCCGTGAATCAGTGGTGAATCACAGGGTCTTTCCACTATATGGTGGAGAAAATTTTGAAAAATAGGTCATGTTGTAGTGGTGAAATTGAGTCGAAACACAAGTTGTTCGTCGTCTTGGCCCGTGTCAAATCATCAATTATAATATCGACACAAAACAAAAAGCTTACGACACTCGGGATTCCAAAGCCGTCTCCGTCAGCATTCGACGGTATTTGATTGCGGTGCAGATGCAGGTAAGCAACAATTAAAGGAATACAAAATTAGCTTACTCAATTGATACAAGCTAAACTCAAACATTCAAAGAACAATATTTCGTTTACCACGGCTTTTCATTCTTGTTAAGAAATTTAAAAGGGTTTTTTAAGGAAGTTTTCCGGCACAAGCCAGATCCTGACTTTTGTACTTAACTAGCTTGCCTACAAAAGGTCCTGAATGATCTAAAAGCTGGCTTTGTTTTGGCTTGCCTTGCCTAACCAGTTTGCATGTCCATTTGAAACATTGGTG